GATCCGATGATAGATCTGTTAAGTGATCTACATGAGTCTGACCTTGCAGCACTCTTCGTGTAAGTGCAAAATCCATCAAGTCGGGTTGCTTGTTTGGATCTGTGGGCCAATGTGTAGGCTTGCTCGGAGAGATAAAGTCTAGCTTGTTTCGTGGCGTTATTATAGCGTTATAAAGTTGTCGTCCTTTCGGGTAAGTGCTTGGCACTATGTGTGTGCAATGGTCACCTAGTAGGCCGAAGAATTTTACAAATTCTATTTAAGAAATGCAGAAGCGCGCGCGGTGGGCAGTATACTGCGGCTAGGTATAGGTAGCCAATATGAATTTATGTTGCCTGTAGATAAGGTGTACCAAATGATGGCAATGGATAATTGCTGCTGCGATGCTTGATCAGAACGCCAGTACCTCCATGTGCCTTAACATTGGGATGATTTGTCGCTTATAAGTTATAGCCATCGAGGTGAAAATAGTTTTATTTGTTAGGTGAGTCTCTGATATGAGCATGGCGGCAATGTCGTGTTGAGCGAGGAACTGTAAGAGAATTTGTGCTGCGAAATGACATTTGCATTCCAGTAACATATATTTAGACAAGCCATTTAAACAGATTTCTCTTTGATTAGGAGCTCCAGGAGGAGGTTTTGGGTTCGCATAAGCTCCTGCATCGTTTGTTGTATTCCTATCATTGTGTTTGTTATAGTTACCAGCATTGACTCAATTCCACTAGGCAATTGGGATGGATTTTCAGGGGAATGCTGGGCAGTAATATCTGGAATTTGATTTGATGTCTGATGCTGCATTATTCCTGCAGTAGGTGGTTGAAGTTTCGGCTTATAGACTGAGGCGTAAGACCCGTTGTTCTAACTTAACGCCTGAGAAAAAGAAACGCCTGGAGTCGTAGTTGATGGAATATATGGTAAGTTTTGTCGGACGACCGGGTTTCGAGGTGCAGTTATTTGTTGGTTTAGGTGATTTTTCAATTCTTTATAGACAGGACAACCTCTATAGTTGGCAGTATGGTTTCCCCTACAGTTGCTACATTTTTTGGCAAATGGGTCCTTTTTATTTTCGGGGTAGGCCTCAGTGAGAGGAACATCACCACAGACAACGCAGACTGCCCGTAGTGTGCAAGTTTTCGTGTGTCCATATTCCTGGCAATTTTTTCATTGGCCTGGTGCATTTCGTTTATGTGGTTCCTCAACGGCGATCCTACAGTGCAGTAGATATTGAAGCTTGTAGATTGGGTGAACTCCCTTTTTACTTAAATTCATACTGTCAGGTGTCATTTCTACCTTGAACATTGGCTGGGGAATTTTATTTATATTAATTATGTTCATAGCCATTTTGACTTCGAAGCTCTTATCGTTAAGTCCATCTATTATCTCATTGATTGGGACTGTTGGTTCCATTCCTTTGGTAACCAATAACCAATTCTAAAATTCTAAAAAAATCAAATGCTCAAAAATGTATATACTGACTGAGTACGGGTATAAGTTGAGTCGCTTCCCCAGAAGCGACTCGCACGTTCCTTCTCGTTTTATTTTCGAGGTATTTCGCAAATTACACCACTCGACAAAATTGAACTTTTTATTTAGGCTGTGAACCAAAATGACTTTTTCTGATAGATTTCGGGATTTAAAAATTTTTGTAGTACTTTATTATTTTTTTATGGTGTTATTTTTTTAAAATAATTTTTAAAATCTGGTATTTTTTTTTAGAGTTAGTGCTTCTATTTTTCACATAACTTATGTATCTTATATCTGGTTGCATATAACTTTGCAGTTCCGAACAGCTGACAAAAGCAGCTATAAATACGACCCAGACCCTTTGTATCTGAAGCTTAACGCCTGGAAGATATTAAGCTTTCAAATTCAAATTTCATAATTTATTTGCTGTTATGTGAAAAATAGAAGCACTACCTCTGAAAAAAACATTAAAAAATACCAGATTTTAAAAAATTCTTTTAAAAAAACTACACATAAAAAACCATAGTTCGTTAAAAATTTTTAAACCCCTACATCTGTAAGAAAAAGTTATTTTGGGCCACAGCCTAATTCTAGTGTTGACTAGTGTTATCGATAGTTTTGTTTGTCATTGACTTGTATTTTTGTTTCATTTATGTTACCCCTTTTTTGGACGTGACATATGGGTAGTTCCGCCAAAAGGTCCACCAGGCCAAGAATCATAAAAAGTCAATAAAAACCGATTTCCATATAATTTTTTCCGAATATTTTTTTCTAAATTTATTGAAAGGTAACTAATTTACTTTATTGACATATAATTTCATTAACTTTCATCCTAAAACCTATGAAAATAAGCAAAAGTTCACGTTTTTGGTATTTTCTGGTATTTTAATAGACATGTTTTCTTTTACTATTATCTCCTAGGAAGAAGATGATTCTTAATAAAAGTTTCTCCTTAAAGTCTTTCTAACACATTAAACTACCTAAAACCATTATCAGAACGTTGGTCCAACCTCGGCTAACAGTATAGGCTTTTTTTAGGCTTTTATCATCGCGGAATTTGGTAACGTCACGCCAGTAACGTTCGCCAGATGCCTCCGCGGATTTTTAACAAAAAAAGAGGAAAAGTTTTTACATTTAATAAGTTTGATAATTAACTCTCAATACTTCATTTATTACCACAAAAAATGTTATACAAATAGCCCTATCCAATTCGCAGAGTTTTGCCATTTTGTACCCCAACCTCGAAAACCACTTCTGTTTTATGTAACGCACTTTTAACCAAATTATATTCAACGAGGATAATCTTTTTTCCAAATTTCAGCTTTTTGACTATTTTTTCCAACATTTTGTCGTACGAATGTAACGTAACGCCAGATAGGAACTGCCCATATGTAGAATGTGTTTGGGCTAATTTTATCAGTTATTTTTTATGTTCAGTTCAGCACAATTTGCCTGACGAACATAAATAGGTGGCGGCCTTAATTTTTTGGCCTTGGGTGTTTCGGCGATCTCATCTTCATTTGGGACACTAAGTATCGAAAATCTACTGTTTGTTAGTGCCTTATTTGGCACAGTGTTCTCTGTTATTTTAGCTCAATTTTCCTTTGATTTGCACATAGCGATCGAGCCCAGTCTGAATTAACGCTCCGTTAACGTTTTTCGAACTTATCGGTTTTGAGAGGTGGGGCTTGTCGCAGTGGGTCGACAGTACCTGGCGCTTACCAATTGCAGTGGCTGTTGTCCTTGTTTTGTTGTGGTCGAAGACACAGTTTTGAGCGAGGGCATTGTACTAGTTGTTGTCGATATTAGCAAATCGTTGGATAGGCAGTACGAGTCCGGGGTATGGGCACTGAGCACTCCATGACCCATTTTGCAATGCATGGGAGAGAGAGCGTGCTCTCTCCTCGTTCACTTTCAGTGATGCAGTTTTTGTTGGTACTGCTACCTTTGACGAGGGTATAGAAAAGTACGCGTTGTTTTTTGCTTGCAAGAGCCGACGCTCGTCTGGTTGCTGTTGCTGGGCTTGGCTCATTTTGACTTTGATTACAGTGCTTGGGCTCTTTACCGAGCTGGTGCTCTTATACGTTGAAATTTGTGTTTTCTAATATTTTATATTATTATTCTTTATTACACGATTGGGTGATATTCATATTCGTTCAGCACGAGCACTAGTACCCATGCATACCCCGAGAACTAGTACCCATGCATACCCCTAGCACTTGACCCCGAGCGCTTTTTCGCGAATTAATTAATTTTCACGGCGGAGCGATACAAAAATACGTCTGAAGTCGTTGACGGGTTGGCCACCATACAACCAGGTATAAGATACTTAAGTTATGTGAAAAATATAAGCACTACTTCTGAAATACAACACGAAAAAAATATCAAATTAAAAAAATTCTTTAAAAAAAACTAAACCAAAACACAACGAGAAGGAACGTATGAGTCGCTTCTGGGGACGCGACTCTACTTATACCCGTACTCTGTCAGTATTTACATTTTATGAGCTTATAATTTTTTAGAATTTTAGAATTAAAAAAACAAAATTTTACATTTTAAATTTTGTTTGCTACATATGTTATCTACATCTACATATTCTATGTATATTATACATCTAAAATGTAGACTCCACATGTACCATTTAGATTCTACATCTCCTCCGCTAGGGGTTGCTAGCGTACTGAACGAGGCAAAGTGTGCGAGCGAGAAAGAGAATGAGTAGCGGGTCTCTGGCTGAAGTAGCCGGGGAACCAACAGAAAATTAATTTCTTCATTCTGGCCATAATCATTCTCTACGATACTGTGTTCTAGTTTTGTCGTATGTGCCTGCCACAGATTTTCGTCCTTTGTGGGGGCGGAAGGGGCGGGGCGAAATTTTGAAATACACTTGTAGCAGTGTGAGTCTGGAAACCAAATTTGGTTGCCCTAGCTCTTATAGTCTCTGAGATCTAGGCGCTCAACAAGACGGACAGACAGACAGACAGACAGACGGACAGACAGACATGGCTATATCGACTCGGCTTTTGATGCTGATCAAGAATATATCTACTTTATGGGGTCGGAAACGTTTCCTTCTCTGCGTTACACACATCCACTTTTACCACAAATCTAGTATACCCCTTACCTCTTTTTTGAGTACGGGTATAAAAATACTACTGTTGAGCTACTGAGCTTTTTCAGTAGCGTTGTTTTGCGAGATTATTCAAGAGACGATGATTGTTCTGTTAATATATTCACAGTTTATTGTACTTAAGGTAAAGTATATGTAGTATCGAAAAATAGCGAAATGTGTGCGGATTTGATAACGAGGGTTTACGATGGGTCGATTGAAGACGCAAGGCCGGTTCAAGACTGTTGAAAGCGATATATTTATGTAAGGAGCATTTAGAACTATATGGCAGGCAGGTCACTGTGCCAGACAGCAAAACGTGTACCTACGGTGATGATCGGTCTTGAAGTGTCTTCTGCTTTCTCTGACGAGCCTCCCCCACAGTGGCTGACTAACGCCGAGGAAGAGCAAAGCACCAGCAAGAGCATAATCAAAGGAAAGCAAAACGGTGATAAAGAGAGACATTACATTAAGTGATGTTACATATGCTCAACTGCTCTTTGTGCTGCCATGGGCCGGCGCTTAGCCAAACATACTCCCACCGTTGAAGAGCACGCGTCTTTAACATCCTTCTTTGGCAGCACTGTTGTTCTATTGTTGCTCCAGGAAACGTCTTCAGCACCGCTACTCCGGACTTTATGTCAGACCCCATTCTGGGTCGAGCGAGAGGCCACTTCAAATCATCTAACTGTAAATAGAGAAGCAGAAAGTGGAGCAGCCTTCAGAGACGGAGAAACCTCTCCTGCAACTATCCATACCAGTCTGGTCTCCTGAAGACGTGGCAGTCCAGTTTCCAACTTTATATTGCCAGCGCATGGAAGCTCGAAGAACAGAGCCGCTCCAATCAGAATATCAACTGGCTGGGGCTGGTAAAACTTCTGATCCGCCAGAGGTATGTTGGAGGGCATGTTCCAGCGATTAATGTTGAGGATACCGTTGGGTTGGTTACCCGTAATGGTTGAAGCAATAAGTGCCGTATTGGTCGCAGCATAGTTTGACGCGTGTGATTCCAGTTGGATATCAACGCAGCATCCTTCGGATATGGCACACGACCCGCCTAGACCAGAAACGGAAACTTCCGAGTATTTCTTCTGTAGCTGCAACTGTTGTGCCAGACGAGAAGTGACGAAATGCACCTGCGATCCAGAATCGAGTAGGGCACGGCAAGGAATCAACATCCCAGAGCGACTCCTCACGCTGATTATGGCAGTGGGCAAAATCACGGCGTCCCGTCGATGACTCTGGGCCAAAAGCGACGAGGCTGACGATGTTACGGCGTGGAACCGATGTTGATTTGAAGAGTTGGGCAGAATGGATTGAGAAGTGTAGGATGGAGACTCGAAATGAAGTAGTGTGTGATGCTTTAGCACCACAAACTCGGCAGGATCGAGAACGACATTCACCTTGCTGATGGCCTGATCGGAGGCAGTTGGTGCGTAGCGATTGCTTCTTAGCTTCCTGGAGCCGAAGTCGTGGAGAAAGGATGCTGAACTGAGAACATATATATATATGTATTGAATGTCCGGTATCGTCGCAGAGCGCGCAGGCAATCGGCTTTAAGGTAGTTGCTACTAGGCAGTGTTTCCAATTGCTATTGGTGTACATGCGTGCTCCTGAGTCTCCAACCTCTGGCATCTGTGCTCCAGAAAAGCGGTAAAATTCTGGGTTGTGGGTTTGCTTATCCATTGACGAGCATTCCTCCCACTTGGCTTGTGTGGGGCTGACCACTTTCTGTAGCAGGCTATGTATCAGAATGCAGTCAACAAGCTCCTTTGTCCCCACACTCTGCAAAGTCCGCCGATTGGCATTTACAGTATCTGAAAATGACCGGAGTTGGAACACAGATGAGGTCTCAATACGCTGCACACTCAGAATGTCAGTGACATGTGCCTGAAATATTAGACACTTGTTATTGAACCGTTTGTTAAGAAGGTCCAGGGCGATGGGATATCTGGCGTGGCTGAACTCTAGCGAAGAGATTGTGTCTAAAGCTGGTCCTTTCAGGCAGGATCGTAAGTTACGATGGGTCGATTGAAGACGCGGGCCGGTTCAAGACTGTTGAAAGCGATATATTTATGTTAGGAGCGTTTAGAACAATGTGGCAGGCAGGTCACTGTGCCAGACAGCAAAACGTATAAATTGTATAAAACAAACAAAACATAAATGTGAGATTATGATTTGCGTGGAATTTTTATTAATTTGTACCTGTTAAAAATTTTTTTTTGCTACGGTGATGATCGGTCTTGAAGTGTCTTTTGCTTTCTCTGAAGAGCAGCGGCTGACGAACACACCAGCAAGAGCATAAGCAAAGGAAAACAATACGGTGATAAAGAGCAACGTTACATTAAGAGATGTTACATATGCTCAACTGCTCTTTGTGCTGCCATGGGCCGGCGCTTAGCCGAACAAATACTCTAATGGAAATGTGAAGTTCTGCAACGATTTACCAATAATACATAGAAGCACAGGACAAAAACATATAATTTTATTAAATACATACCAACTATGATCAATATAAAAAGTTATTTTAATAAAATTCGCACACAATTAAGTTTCACTCAGCTTAACCAAAGGCCATAAAATGGCTAGAAAATGTACTTAGGTATGGACAGAAAAGATTAGTGGGACTTACCGGCGTGCAGCTGATCGAAAAATATAAAAATATTGCAATAAATATTTGTGGGATGTTAACTTTCCATAACTAAAAAAATATTAACTAGATTCAACATTTTAATTTAATTTATTGCCTGCCAGATTGGCAGAATTGACCACTGTGGGTTGTGAGACATAAGTTTTCTAACAACTTAAATCTCAATTTCGTTCAAAAGTGACTTACGATACCTTCAAGGAAATGCGTCGATATACTCTTCAATATTCATAAAATTAAACGTAATAGAAGAAGAATTTTGATTCCTGATCAAAAACCTAGAGTGAATACAAAAGTGACTATTTCTCATTTAAGGATTCTTTTGAAAAGAAGGACATTTGGGTTTAAAATTTGTATGGTTTTCATTTGTCATTTATATTGTTAGCTTAGTTTAAGAACATTTTTTTTTTAGAATATTTAAAATTGTATAAAACAAACAAAACATAAATGTGAGATTATGATTTGCGTGGAATTTTTATTAATTTGTACCTGTTAAAAATTTTTTTTTGCTACGGTGATGATCGGTCTTGAAGTGTCTTTTGCTTTCTCTGAAGAGCAGCGGCTGACGAACACACCAGCAAGAGCATAAGCAAAGGAAAACAATACGGTGATAAAGAGCAACGTTACATTAAGAGATGTTACATATGCTCAACTGCTCTTTGTGCTGCCATGGGCCGGCGCTTAGCCGAACAAATACTCTAATGGAAATGTGAAGTTCTGCAACGATTTACCAATAATACATAGAAGCACAGGACAAAAACATATAATTTTATTAAATACATACCAACTATGATCAATATAAAAAGTTATTTTAATAAAATTCGCACACAATTAAGTTTCACTCAGCTTAACCAAAGGCCATAAAATGGCTAGAAAATGTACTTAGGTATGGACAGAAAAGATTAGTGGGACTTACCGGCGTGCAGCTGCTCGAAAAATATAAAAATATTGCAATAAATATTTGTGGGATGTTAACTTTCCATAACTAAAAAAATATTAACTAGATTCAACATTTTAATTTAATTTATTGCCTGCCAGATTGGCAGAATTGACCACTGTGGGTTGTGAGACATAAGTTTTCTAACAACTTAAATCTCAATTTCGTTCAAAAGTGACTTACGATACCTTCAAGGAAATGCGTCGATATACTCTTCAATATTCATAAAATTAAACGTAATAGAAGAAGAATTTTGATTCCTGATCAAAAACCTAGAGTGAATACAAAAGTGACTATTTTTCATTTAAGGATTCTTTTGAAAAGAAGGACATTTGGGTTTAAAATTTGTATGGTTTTCATTTGTCATTTATATTGTTAGCTTAGTTTAAGAACATTTTTTTTTTAGAATATTTAAAATTGTATAAAACAAACAAAACATAAATGTGAGATTATGATTTGCGTCGAATTTTTATTAATTTGTACCTGTTAAAATTTTTTTTTTTGCTACATCTGTCATCTAAAATGTAGATTCTACATCTCCGAGAATCTACGAGAAACGGTGCAACATTGGAAGTGGGTTGGTTAGCAACTGAAAATTAATTTATTCATTCTGGGTATAATAATGATCCGATCTAACCAAAGACTATACAAAACTTAGATGCTGCATGAGGAACAAATGACCATTTAATTTTCGTTTGACGCTTCATGGCGCGCGGGGCTAGCGATAAGGCTCGACATATAACAGCTTTTTGGTAACCCAGATTCGGCAATCCTGGTAGATTGTCTATTGTTTCCGTTTTTTCGTATCTTGAAAATTGTAGATGCCACAGATTTTCGTTCTATGTCGGGGCGAAATTTAAAAATACACATAACATTGTGATATCACATAAGTCTGGAAACAAAATTTGGTTGCTCTAGCTCTTATAGTCTCTGAGATCTAGGCGCTCTTCAAGATGGACAGACAGACATGGCTATATCGAATCGGCTATTGGGGTTGGAAACGTTTCGTTCTCTTCGTTGCACACATCCACTTTGACAGCAAATTTAATATACCCCTTAACGGGTATGTACGGGTAAAAATGCCTAAACAAGCATTACTTGGTGGTGGGCCAGCGACGGTAAAACGGTAAAATCTGATTTTCGTAGGGTTGGTCAACCAATTTTAGATCCGCCGATGAGCAATACCTTAAACGACGCCGAATTAATGCACCTATAAACAAACAAAAAAACAAAGGACCTAGAAAATAAATTATTTTTCGACTTTTCCTTTTCATAATTTTTGCATCTAAAAACTTAATAAACAAAGAGTTTGGGTCTAATTATTACCTGCATTTCTTAGATTTTCAGAACGGCAAACCAAATGTAAGATACTTAAGTTATATGAAAAAATCAAGCGCTACCTCTGAAAAAAGTTTAAAAAGAAAAACAGGTTTCAAAAATTCTTTAAAAAAAACTGCCGTAGAAAAAAACCATAATTCTTTAAAAAATGTAAAGCCCCCAATCTATCAGAAAAAGTCGGTTTGGTTCCTTGAGAAAAAAAAGTTAAATTTTGTTGAGTAGTGATATAATATCGACTATCAGGTTCTAATTGTTATACATTCTTATATTTTAAGGAACGGTAGCAGTAAATGTAATGGCTAACACCGGGAAAAAACGTTCTAAAGCTGAAAACACAGCGCTTAAGGACTTTGGTATCGAGTATGCAAAATCTAGCCGATCATCCTGCCGAGGTTGCGATCAAAAAATAAGCAAAGATCAAATTCGTGTACGGAAAACCGTATATGATACTGAAGTTGGTATGAAGTATGGTGGTCAACCATTATGGCATCATGTAGAATGCTTTGCACAATTGAGATCCGAACTTGGGTGGTTCGATTCTGGCGAAAATCTTCCAGGCTACAAAAGCTTAAAAACGGAGGACAGAACTGAAGTGAAAAAAGTGCTGCCGTGAGTATTTTTCGTCTTTATAATGAAGATTAAGTAGATAATATGAATCTACTCAATTTATTTTTTAACATTTGAATGCAAACGAAACATTGGACTGAAAACAAGACTTGTTAGAAACATGATTTTCTATTCCTTACAATTAAAATCTGAAAATGTATTTACTAAAAGTTATAATTATTATCAAATATATTTGTCATTAGGTAAAAAGAGGTGCATGAATTATATAAGTTAAGTAGTTAAACAGTAAAAAGTAACTTAAGATGGCATGTAAGTGCATTGACTATCTTTTTCTCTCTTGGCACTGTTACTTACTGGTCGTCCAACTTCAAGGCAAAATAAACTTAAGTGCGCCGATGTTGGGTTCTTTACTAATTTTTATACCCGTACTCAAAAACAGTTTAGGTATACATATATTCGATTTTTGGTAAAAGTGGATGTGTGCAACGCAGAGAAGGAAACGTTTCCAACCCCATAAAGTATAAATATTCTTGATCAGCCGATTCTATAGAGCCAAGTCTGTCCGTCTTGTTTGTCGCCTAGATCTCAGAGACTATAAGAGCTAGGGCAAATTTGGTTTCCAGACTCATGTGATATCACACTGCTACAAATTTTAAAATTCTAAAAAATTATAAGCTCAAAAATGTATATGAGCTTATATATATGAGTACGGGTATAAGTAGAGTCGCGTCGTCAGAAGCGACTCACACGTTCCTTCTCGTTTTGTTTAATTTTCTTGCTTAAAATTTGTTGTAAAATTCGGGAGCAACCTCTTAAAAATTTGTTTTAATAAAAATAAAAGCTTTAATATTACTATCAAACCCAAGATAACAAAATTAACGGGTGTCCCGTTTAAATTAAAAAAAACTTTTTTGTTCTTAGCTCAACCTAATGTATAATCTACATTGTGTATTTATAATTTATATTATATATGTGGAATCGACAATGTGGATGTAGATAACAGACGTAGCAAAAACGAGAAGGAACGTGTGAGTCGCTTCTGGGGACGCGACTCTACTTATACCCGTACTCAGTCAGTATATACATTTTTGAGCATGATTTTTTAGAATTTTAGAATTAAAAAAAAAATTTTACATTTTACATTTTTTTGCTACATTTGTTATCTACATCTCATCTACAATGTCTATTCTACATCTAACATGTAGTTTGTACAAGTACCATTTATATTCTACATCTCCTCCGCTAGGGGTTGCTCGCGCACTGAACGCGGCAGAGTGTGCGAGCGAGAAGGAAAATGAGTTGCGTTGTCGTGGGCGGGAGGGGGAGGGGAAGCAACTGAAAATTAATTTCTTCATTCTGGCTATAATTATGATCCGATCTGATTCAGATTCAGCAATCTGGTAGATATGGGCATTCTCTACGATACTGCGTTTTTAGTTTTATCGTATCTTTAAAACTGTGCCTGCCACAGATTTTCGTCCTTTGTGTGGGCGGAAGGGGGCGGTGCGAAATTTTGAAATACACTTGTAGCAGTGTGATATCACATGAGTCTGGAAACCAA